GCTGGCACAAGGTCGTTCACAAGTCAGGAACTTACCAAGCCCTGATAGAGCCCCTGGTCCAGATCCTTCAGATCGTTCAGATTGGCACGATAAGCAGATTCTCGCTGAGCCGAACCTGCTCCTCCTGTCAATGCCCATTTGAGCAGGAAGAACGGCGCGAAGTTGACATCAACTAAGATGCCTTCATACATGCACTTGCCAATGATCCGGCCAAGGAACTCATAACGTCTAAGTAGCTCCCGTACTTTTTCGTTCCAATCGAGGCTGTTTTCAGTGAAGCCTACTCGTCTTAGTAGCTCTTTCCGTTGCTCAACCGCTGTCGGGTTGGGATAGAGCAGATGTTGGTCGTTCTCTTCAAACAGGCTCATCTCGTTCGTTGATTTGAAAGCTTCGCTGGTTACACTGGTTAGAAATTCCTTGGTGACACCACCGCCGTCAATTCCAGCTTCCGCAGTGTTCCACTTGTCGATGAAGGTGATCTGGATTGGCTCCTTGAGACCCTCTCCCAATTCGTAGAACTCCTCAAACGCATCTTCGAACACGCTCTCGCGCCTGATGTTCGCATGGTGCCGACTTAAGACATCTTGCGCAGCAGGGCGCCCGTCAATCATGCGGCCCATCGTGGCTTCGGCCACGGACATACGCCAAGCATCTGGATCGACAAAGCCGTGCCTTCGGCGAATCTGATCGCGGTATATAAACTCGCGGAATACCTGGACTCTTGTTGCGAACGGGATGAAGAAGGGCATGTTCCTCAGAATTTCAAGTCGCGGTGCTACCGCCTCCAGCTGTTTCCGACGAGCAGCCTGTTGTTGACGACGCCTGAGAGCCTCAATCCGACGTGTTTGCTGAGCACGGCCGGTGCCGATAAGCCCTAAGGACGGTTCAAGAAGAGTATCAGGCGTGAGATCACCCTGCCCTTCGTCATCCTCATCCTGAAGTTGGTGTCGGTTCTCCTCCTCCGCAACCACAGCGGGGATGAACCCTTCCATGTCGAAACGGCTTGTCATCAACCAGTGCCCGTCAGGGAGAAACTTCCTTCTCGAATCTCGCTCGTGAATCATCCTCAAAAGACCTGTGACAAGGCCCTTGAAATAGTCAAGCGGAATGCCCGTAACGCCAGGAAGACCTTTCTCCTTGTTCTTGGTTTCAATCTCTTTCACGCTAGCCACGGGATCAGACTGTAGCGCGGAGGAGCTGAAATAGCTTCGGATTCCACCAGTACCCTGAACAGTTTCGTGCTCATTCAAATCTGCTGAATTCCAGTACAGTGTGAAGCCTAGATTTTTAAGGAAGAGTGTCATGTCCTTGATATCTGTCAATGGCAATGCACTCTCCTTGGTCCATGACACCCTGGTGTTTGAGGAAGCAGTGAAAGACGACTGATTGGAGAAAAACTCTTCGTCGTCCATCACCTTGAGTACAAACGTATAGAGTTCAAGGAAGAGAAGGATGATAGTCCATTCTTCATCCCTCTCTGCCTGGGACATTCCCCGAAATCTGGGATCCATTGAGTCCTCGACAGGCTTCAATAGAGGCAACACCTTGGTTGAGTCTTGGCTGATGGCAGTAAAGATTCGGCTAGACCTGGATGCATGCCAGAAGTACTTGATGGCTGGGATTTTGGTTCCCTGTTGGCCTATTGATTGTTGATCCGATGTAGCTGATCCTAGATAGAGCCACATGCGGATATCATCACCCCTCCGAGGGAACACCCGCAACAGGGTCAGTGCATAGGTAGCAAGTATCTTTGCTTCTCGAGATGCATCCGACTGAGAATCCGCCAGCTCACCTTGTGAGAGCTGTGTGGACTGGAGTTGGGAAAGAAGGCCTGTAATGCTGCTCTGATTGACAAGGCTGATGAGTTGGTCCTTGATGAAGGGATGCAGGGGGGCTCTTTCGGAGTCGTCATCGATGTCGTTAGGGTCATCCTGTTCCATACGTCGTGATATATGCATTGCAGTGGAATTGAGCATGTCAGACACGACCTTAATGAAGCCAGAATCCGGAGCTTGCTGCCCGGCCTGGCTTCCCAATACAGAACGATGGAAGTAGATAAAGTAAGCGAGCATCCAGAGACAAGAATCTGTATCCTCGCGCTGACGGTCACGAAAATACGACTGCAGCGGATCAAGAGCGGAAGTCAGAAGCTTATAGTTGATACTGTTGGCCAGGCTATCCAAACTACCGAGATACTGCGGAAGATTTGGAATGGTCAAATAGGACTTCGCAAACCACTCATAGGCTGTAAGGGTTTCGGAAGTGATAGGCCGAAGCACAGCCAAGACGCACTCGACAAGACTGTCTCCGGAGAGTTGAGGCGTTCGGTCCGTTGTCAGGATCCTCATGACAGAGTAATAGTCATGGGCCAGGCGAGCTATTTGCTTCGGGATGAGACCCGTAAGGAAGATAAGCAGCTGGAGAAGGGGACCGACCGCGAACGCCGGCAGCGTCGGGGTGGTCGCGGTACGGAGCACACAAAGGGTCAGTCTTGCCAGTCGATTCAGCGGCGTCGTCCATTCTCCTTCGGTCGCTATCGTCGGAACTTCATTCAAGGTCTTCTGGAAGACGCCCGAGAAGTACACCAGCCGGAGGACATCCTCGCTGTTCCACGGTTCCAAGAAATGCACCAGCAAACGCAGCTGTGACAAACAAGCCGCTGCCGTTCCATAGCGGTGAGGCCGTTGTAGAGACGCATCTTGCCGCTTGAGAAGGGTCTCGAATGAGAAAAGCCCCTCGGTCGCCTGCGTCTCCGTGGCATCCCACTCCGTCCGCCACACACTGCGCGTTATCTTCCTGCTCCGATAACCCCTCCATGTCCGTTGTATGGTCCGGCTCGCCCCTAATCGCTCTCTCTCCTGTTGTCGGAGTAACCGTTCCTGTTGGGCGATTGCAAGCGTATTCTGAGGCCCTGCGCCGTGAGGATTCTGTCTGCCGGAGGGATATGCGGCGAAAGGGTTCGTGTTGCGGCCTCCTAGGTTGACCTGCCGTGGACGGCGGGAGTTCCCCGTAAATGACTGAAACATAGCTTGACCGAGTTCACGTCGAGTCTGGAGGAAGCAATGATCGATATGACAAGGTTAGATTTATTGTGAGGGGGAAGATAAGCATGACACAGACGCCCCCATGCCGCAAAACGTAAGAAAGGCCCGGATATGCAGCGAAGCGTTGGAAAGAATGGAGGGGAAATGGGTGGATGATGAATTGGGCTATTCTTATGCCATTATTAAGGTACTAAGTTACTAAGTTACTAAGTTACTAAGTTACTTGAGTTACTGCGCCGACTTGGCCGAGCGGGTGCGGAGGAGCGGCCTTTTTACGGCCACGCACCACCTGCCGCAGCCTTTGCACTAATGCCACTCTCCACAGCCCCACGAGCACGGGCTTTTACTTGCTGCAGATTACCAACGTGCAAACCATGCCAGTGCTGGCTACCAAGGAATTTTTTTTTAAGTGTGCTATTTGTGATTGACTACGCCTTGAATGGATCTCAGTAGAAGATGACTATGAAGTAAGCTAGCAACATTGTGTGCGTAACCTCTAGCTTGCTGAAGCCTACATGGGCTTAAGGGAAATATATTTACAAGGCTACGGCATCGGGTATTTGGTTGCAAGCTCTGCGAAACAGGCTCTATCAATACACTCGCTTGCAGACCTATGAGCTACTGGCAAATAATGCCATCATAGCAAGTTGCTAATGAATGCGAGATACATAAGAAGTGTATCACCGATAAACCACAGCTGTGATCTGCTCAGAAGCCGATCATTCATTCCCAGATCGAAGGTCTATTTAACTCGATTGAAGAAGATCCAGGTACTCGGAGAAGAAAGTAAGACTGTATGATCAATTGCTGAACTGCAAGAAAACCCGAGAGACGCCCCAAAACCAATACATGCGATTATGAGATGCTGACCCAGTAGCCGATCGTGACCAGTCAGCCCCTCTGCGCCCTGGCTGATATGTAGTCCACATGGACTATCGCGACAGCCCTTCAGCACCACAAACAACCACTATACATATGATACAACCCACACAAACCAGCGGATGACAAGCTGAAACACCCCCAAGCGTGAATGCCAACATGCCTCGTTAGCCACCGCCGTAGCCAGGGGTGAGCGACTGCCGTAAGCAGTGATAGACTTGGTTCGGAATCAACGTGTTTCTGTTGCGGATACTTCACGATGTCGTCGATTGAGTCGCCGCGGCTTCGGCGGCAAGCTTGGCCTGCTCTTGTTCCTTGGTAATACGTGCCCAAGCTTCCTTTCTAGCCTTCTTCCTGGCAGCGGCCTCAGCCACCTTCGCAGCCTCCGCAATCTGCGCGGCCTTCGCGGCCTGGGCAGCCCTGCGCGCTTCCTCTTCCTCGAGCTGTTTGTCAATCTGCTCCTGTTCCAGGACCTCCCGGCCGTTGTCGAGCGCCCACATATCTAGGTAATCCTTGCCCTCGAGAGCACGCTCGACCGTGATGAGCCTGCCTTTCTTCTTCAGCTCGCGAGTGTACTTGGATTGCGTCGGGCTCATGACTCTCGTGACGAACGGGGTGAGCTGATCATGGATTAGACAGGTCAGCTTCATGGAAACATCCACAACTTGAAAAACGGCTGGAAGCGACTCTCGTACCTTGAATTGATCCAGGTTCTCAGGGACAACATATGTGCGGACTTTCTTCCAGTCGATCACGTAGGATCCGTTCTTTGCGAAGTAACCCATGGAGCCGGTCCGGTTTCCTTTATAGTAGCCGCCATTGACCTGCTTCGTGGTCAGGCGCAAGCGCGCCATCATCGGCTGGGAGGGTTTGAACATGGTGGAAGGAAGGGCGGTTGGCGGTTCTTGGGGCCTTCACACTTAATGATTGCGGAGAATGGGGGAACGGACGGACTCTCAGCGGACAAAAAGGCTCTTCTGGAAGTCGGGCGGCGCTAGGAGTATCTCCGCCCCGCCAAGAACCTTTTTTTCTTGTTCCGCATTAGAAAAAAAAAATCGGCCGCATTGCAGTCAGATACACACTATCTCTGCGCAAAACCGGTGCATGGCCATATAATTCAGGACACACCAGCATATTCTTCCATTGAAGTGTCTTCCAATATTAAAGAAGATCCCACCGGTTATATCGCCTCCCAGAGCGAGGGTCAACAGCCATGCCTCGCCAACAGACGCAACTGCGCGGTCCGAAAGACCGGAACCGCGACCAGTCTTCTTCGAAGAAACCCTCCCAGAAGAAGACGTCCGGAAAGATGCTGAATGCATTTTCCATCGCCGAAAGTCAATACCCCACGAAAGTCAAGATGAGACGGAGTCGTTTCGGAGTAGAAGATGATGATCAGTTCAAACGCAAGCGAAACATCGGTCGCGACCCCGAAGACTCAGACACACCGGATAACAAGCGCCGTCGAACCGGCGACGACGAAGCGGAGATGGGATCGAATTTCGGCAGTGACGGTGAAGGAAATAGGTGGAGACTGGGAGAGGTTGACAGCGATGATGACGAGGATATCGACAGTGACGAAGCATTGGGCTCTAGTGACGAGGAACGATTCGAAAGCTTCACCTTCCGTGGTAGTTCCAAACCAAAACACAAGGTGCCCGAGAAGAAAAAGCGCACTCGCGAGATTACTCTGTCTGAAGAGGTGGATGAATCCGAAGAAGACGACGAGATGGACGAAGATGACGACCTCGGAGAGGACGCGGTCGACCTGGCCACTGCCTGGGATATGAACACTGCCATGGAAAAGGAAGAGGAGGAAGGCAAGAATGCAAAGTCAAAATCGAAGCAGGCGACGGGAAGCGATGATTCAGAAGAATATGACAGCGATACTGAAGAAAGCGACTCCGACGATGACAGCGCCCTATCTGTCTCCGATGACGAAAACGATGACGATCAGCAGCACGGGCTCGCGAAACTGCAAAGCTTCGTCGACTCTATGAATATGCAAGCTGCTCCCAAGTCGAAGCGGAAGACTGGTGGTGGGCAAGAACAAGGGGCCCCGACAGAATTCGGCTTGACCTCTACGCGCAAGCTGACAGTTGCCGATCTTCTGCCTTCCATCACGGACTCTCGGCTCAAAAGCTCACTGAAACACGTTGACTCCGACGCAGCTGCGCCTAAGAAGTCGTCCGGTATCCCCGGGAAATTAGATGCCCCCCTCGCAAAGCGCCAGCAGGACCGTTTGGACCGAGCGGCTGCATATGACAAAAGCAAGGAAACACTTGACCGGTGGCTCGAAACCGTTAAGGCTAACCGTCGGGCTGAGCATCTCATGTTTCCGTTGCCTGATCCAGATGCGAACCAGGCGCATCGCATGGGCGCACCTCAGCCACGGACGGACCTCGAAAGTACGATTCAGAATATTCTTGTCGAGAGTGGGCTTGCAGAGACGAACGGCAAGTCGGCTGAAGATCAGATGCAGGAAATGGAAGAATTACAAGAGCGCAGACTACCCATTGAAGAAATCCAGGCCCGCAGAGCCGAACTACGGAAAAGGCGTGATCTATTGTTTCGGGAGGAAGTACGCGCAAAACGGATCAAGAAGATCAAGAGCAAGTCTTATCGCCGGGTTCATCGAAAGGAACGCGAGAAACTGGAACTTCAGGAAAGACAGGCTCTCCTGGAAGCCGGCGTTGATCTAGATGAGCTGGAAAGAGAGAAGAACGAGCGGTTGAGAGCGGAGGCGAGAATGGGCTCCAAGCACAAGGAAAGCAAGTGGGCAAAGAGCTTAAAGCAAACTGGTCGCACGGCATGGGATGAAGATGCTCGACGTGGTACGCAGGAGCAAGCATTGCGCGAAGAGGAATTACGCAAGAGAATCGAAGGCAAGAGAGTCACCACCGGTGACGAAGATTATCTTGGTTCTTCTAGTTCCGAGTCGGAGGACGAGGATCCCTGGGACGAGGAAGCTGCCTCCGATGCTGAGAAGCGCAAGATCCGCCAGAAACTCAGCAAGCTTGAAGGGGACGACGAAGACGATGCAGAGGAGTACAAGGGTCCTCACGCGAATCTGATGAACATGAAGTTCATGCAGAATGCGCAGGCTGCTCGCAAAGCAGAGAATGATGCAGAGATCCGGCGTCTTAACCGTGAATTACATGGTGAAGAATCCCAGTCAGAGGCCGAATCTGAGGTTGGACGACGTAAGTTCGGCAAGTCTGAAACGGATGAGTCTGCCAAGGAGAACAAGCTCAAAGCAGTACCTCGCAATGAGTTCGAAGAAGCTCCGGGATCAGACGATGAGCCGGATGTGCAAGAAATAGACCAAGACGTCAAGATTGTTCTTGATCGCCCGCAGAAGAAGGGACCGGCTCCCAACAAAAACAAGCCCAACGCTCGGCCTTTGAGCCAGGTTGCGGAGCGAGAAGAATCCCCAGTGGAGGAAAACCCATGGCTGGTGCAAACTACCAGGAATAATCGCCGGGTGACAGCGGACGATTCTCAGCAGACGGTCGACATCACGCTTGAAGATGCCCAACCGAGCCACGCTGGTGCTAAGGGTGCTTCCAAGGTTCAAAAGAAACCAGTCGCAACAAGCAAGACCATTGACGCTGAAGACTACGACAGCGATGAAGACGGTGTACCAGTGCTTCTCAAGAATCACGATCTCGTGAAGAGAGCGTTCGCGGGTGACGAGGTCGTGCAGGACTTCGAGCAAGAGAAGCTTGATACCATCAAAGAAGAGGGTGACCAGATTATTGACAACACCCTGCCTGGCTGGGGCAGCTGGGCTGGTGATGGTATCAGCAAGAAGCAACAGAAGCGTCAGAAGCGTTTCTTGACTAAGGTGGAGGGAGTCAAGCCTGAAGACCGGAAAGATGCCAAGTTATCCCGAGTCATCATCAATGAGAAACGAATCAAGAAGGTAAGGATCATCGCCTTGAGATCATTTGCATGCGAATACCTAAACTAATGTCTTATGCCGTCCCAGAACAACAAGTATATGGCGACTCAGCTTCCTCACCAGTTCGAGAACAGACAGCAATACGAAAGGTCTCTCCGTCTTCCTATCGGCCCCGAATGGTCTACCAAGGAGACTTTCCAGATTGCAACCAAGCCTCGCGTGATGATCAAGCAGGGTGTCATCAAGCCCATGCAGAAGCCCATGGTCTAAATACATCGTATGCTTTGACTGCAGGTCAGTGGTTCATACAGATCCTGGTGGGGGTTTTCTCATTTGATAGGGTTAAACGGCGTTGTACCGTCTTGCCCGCACTGTACATTGTCTTTGTGAAGAATTGTGGAGTCGAATGGAGTCATGATACCAAGTCAGCTTGAAGAATACTGTCAGAGAAAGTTGATTCTGTAGCCATCTCCGCATGATGCGTCAATCAAGCAAGGTGTAATTCTCGGTCCTGTCGGTGCATGCGATCGTCGACAAGCGTCTGCCTCTAGAAGAAAAAGCAGAATCAAGAACCAAGAAGAAGTTAAAACATAGTAGTAACACCACCTATGTTTAGGTTAGTACCTACTAGGTAGTAGTCAATAGTCTTCGGGGTTGGTCATCCCCAATTGGGTTTTTTAAGGTTGACGGTTTAGCAGTGCTTGGCTGGAGCTGATCTGGTCGGGTGAACCATCAGCCTCATGGGACAGCCAACTCCGGGGCTGCAGGCCGGACCACATGGACGTTGAAACGAATTATTCCCAAGATTGTCACAGTCACATCGACACAATCAGCCAGGCTATTTCGCATTTGAACTCGTGTCGTATACAATGAAGGCTGACGGTTGGAATGTGCCGGACGATGGCTGGGAGGCGCACACTAAGCTTGGGCTTTCCTTAGTATGGGGGGACATTCCGTCCAGCCTTCGTAAAGAAAGGCTGGTGGTCATTGTCTTGAGGTAAGGGCAGCACTGTAACACTAAATTCAATTTTAGGAAGGAGGAAGATCCTAGGTAGAGTTGGAAGTTGATTTTCGTACTCAGTACGGAGTAGAAGAGGTCAGAAGGAGGGGTCGTGAGGATTCACAAGAGCAATAGGGGAAAGTTAAGTTAACTACTGTGCCTGAATCATCATTATTGTTGCTCCTGCTGCCGCTGCTGCCTTGTTCCTAGGGCTCCACTTCCGGCTCCATCCCGCAGCCATCGCCGTCATCCCATGGTTTTCTTACCATCCACCCACCTACTCAGTACTCCGTAACTACACTACACAACACACCAATACAACCTGTCTTATCTCGACTCTCTGATTGCTCTTCTCAATTGTACCTCCTGTACCTACTTTATCATCATATGCTCCCATCATCTGTCTACCTGTAGGTTTGATCCACCGAGATCCCATGCACATACCCGCCGGACTCCAGGTGCACTGCATAAGCCGCTGCCGCTCGCTGTGCCTGACCTTCAATGCATTCCTCCCCTCCTCGACCCTGCATTCCGTCCCATGAGCTGTTATGCTTTATAGCCTTCGTGGTCGCTAACACCCTGACAGATCGACGTGCTGTGATACCCCTTCGGTAAATTGACTTGGGAGATCACTATTTTTCTTGGTATCTTTATGCACGAGGAGCGGAGTTTATCTCGCGCCTGCTGAGATTCTTGTTGGCCGAGACGGGAATCTATACATTTGACCAGGTAAGCAATGTTGACATTCTTCTATTTATTTGGACTTGCAACCCTTTTGTACCATCTGGTCCAGTCTTCTGTTTCTCCCCTTTTCCTCTTGAATCTTTCTTTACACTCGTTTTCATATCTATTTCGGTGTGTCGGCGCCTTCTCTGTGTCTAGTGCACCGGCGCCCATCACCAAGGAAGAAATTGGATGCACTCTTTAGCCAATTCTTCTCTATTTCTATCCTATATACATCTTTAATTTTTATTCGATATCCATTCGCTCGAGTTGCATTGCATGTTACATTGATTTTTCATTGCTTGAACACCTCATTCCCGGTCATTGTCGTCGAGACCCAACGACCGAGATACTATCACTGTTTCGACCCTGATACTGTTGGCTTTCCATATTTGGGCTCTGCTCCTCGCACCTATTGAAGATGGAGAGACGAATGAAATGGCACCAGTCACTCCTGCTAACGTGGCTGTTGGCCGCAGAGAAGGTCTACTCAGCACCACAGATCACATCATCAGCGTCGACCGCGTTGAAGACTCAGTTTCCCCCGGCCCAGAACGAGAGGCTACTTATTCCGGAAGCGCAGGGTGTAAGTTGAACCAGCATATGGTTGAGGATCTGTTGTTGCTCACCCTGATCCAGTATTACCCCACCAGTCTCGAACGCGAAGGCCGTACGTCGCTACAACCTTATCCGACAGTCACAAACGTGCCGCATAATCTCAACGACTTGCTGCATGACTTAGAGAGTCCTGCAGACTTGCTTGATATTCTGTTGCCCGATTTCAAAGACAGTGATTCCGACTCCCCAGCGACCGCGCCAGCAGCAGATTCTACCTCAGGAGCAGACAGTCCGTTGCATAGGCCGACTGGACACAAGCCCACCCCAACGCCTGCGGACACTGACGAGAACGACGACACCGACGACGAATCTGAGGATTTGAATGATAGCCCGACTTCTGTGTCCTCCACCGACAGGCCTTCGACTGCAACCCCGAATCCGACTGATTCTGACACTGAGCCAAGCGAAACTTCTAACGCTGCTACCTCTACCTCATCAACTGTATTGCCAAGTAAGTTGTGTGTCAAGTAATGTGTGGCATGCTGTCTGACCTTGACTGGCATTAGGCTCAGTTACACAAATGTCTGGCGGTCAAGATGTATTCGTTCCGTTGGCTACCGGGGCAATCCCTCCAGTTGTAACATCGAGAGGCGACCACCCCGTGCCAAAGAAAGGAATCGTAAGTCGAACGGTCAAATTGTTTCAAGCACTTGTCTGACCCTCGCAGGAAAACGTCAACACTCCAATTGAGACCAACAAGTTTTACAGTGGTATCTTCCTGGGATCGCAGACCAATGCTACTTTCACTCATCCATATGCTGTTGCCTGGGCCAAAGGAAGTGGTACTGCACAGAGCTACGGTATGGCACTTTGGCACAACGAAGCCAACGTGGTTGCCAACGGGCCGACGAACTCGAAGATTCCCGGAAACCCGATTTCGTATTACGTGAACCCGATCGGCATTCAGCACTTGATCTTGTCGGCAACAGAGCTGAAAGCTTCCACTGTGCTTACAGGGGAGAACCTCTTGCCGTTCTCTGCGGATGCTGTCCTGAAACCAGATAGCGGGTCTAGCCAGCGCCTTACAGTCCCCCTTGTTCAAGGCATGGGTTTCGTGACCGGCCTGTACACAAACTTGCAGCCTCTGATTCAAACCGGCGTTTTTTTCAGACAGGTCGTTACGGCTGCCTCTCCAAGATCTGGCATTTTCAAGTATAAGGCCACCATGGAGGATGGAAGCATCTGGCTTATCTATGCCGTGCCGCAGAATGGCAAGGATCCTAATTTCCAGTTGGAGTCTAACACCAACTTCCGTGGCCCGGCTGGGTGGTCTGGATTTGTGCAAATCACCAAGAACCCTGGTGGAGACTCGGGGGAGAAGTTGCTCGACGGGTCAGCCGGTGTTTTTGCTCTCGAAGCTGCTATCTCTGGAACCGTGAATGCCCGTACCGGCACGTATCAGCTGTCGTGGGCCAAGTCAGGGACAAAGACGCAGGATACACCCTTGATGATGTACGCTTTGCCTCATCATGTTGAGTCGTTCGATGCCACAACGAAGAGTCGGATGACAAGTATCAATCTCCGCACAACCACCAAGGGAAATGCGATAGCGGTCGTTGGAGAAACGTGGACTATGGTCGAGCCGGATCTTCCTACCGACATGGGATTTGCTCCATGGTCCGCGTCTGCAGGAAATGTCAACAGTATCTCGGCAGCAGCGCAGAAGGTCATTCTGGCCGTCGCACCGACGGAGCTTAACCAGAGCATTGACGCCCAGACCAACTTGAACAGCATGTACTACAGTGGGAAAGCTCTGAGCAAGTTCGCAACCTTGGTTTACACTGTAAACAAGCTAGGTGGGGACCCTGCTCTGGCTGCCTCAGCATTACAGAATCTCAAAACTGCCTTTTCGCGCTTCATCACCAATCAGCAGCAATTCCCATTGGTGTATGACACTGTCTGGAAAGGCGTGGTGTCCACGGCGAGTTACGGTGGTGATTCGGGCGCTGACTTCGGAAATACCTATTACAATGACCACCATTTCCACTATGGCTACTTCATCCATGCAGCTGCTATCGTAGGGTCTCTGGATCCGACTTGGCTGTCAACCAGCAAGGACTGGGTCAACATGCTTGTTCGAGATGCTGGGAACTCCGCCGCCAACGATCCCTACTTCCCATTTTCCCGCTCTTTTGATTGGTTCAATGGACATTCGTGGGCCAAGGGACTCTTTGAATCCTTCGATGGCAAGGACCAGGAGTCTACCTCAGAGGATACTATGTTTGCCTATGCGCTTAAAATGTGGGGGAAGACCATCGGCGACGCTAGTTTGGAAGCTCGAGGCAATTTGATGCTGGGAATCCTGAGGCGCAGCTTGCACAACTACTTCCTGTTGGAAAGCGACAATAAGAACCAGCCTGCTAACTTCATTGCCAACAAGGTGACTGGTATTGTAAGTGACAACCCCATCGCGCAATTTATGATTGCATGACTTACACTATATCCAGCTTTTTGAAAATAAGGTAGATCACACTACCTACTTTGGTGCCAATCTTGAATATATTCAAGGGTATGTTGGAGCTTCCCATCTGTTTCGTCTTCCTGCTAGAATCAACAACTAACTCCTCTAGAATTCACATGTTGCCACTGATGCCATTCTCCGGATTCACTCGAAGGCAGAACTTCGTCCGCGAAGAGTGGGATGCTCTCTTCGCAAGCACTGCCAGTACCCCTGCTTCAAACGTGGTTGGGGGCTGGAAGGGTGTTCTGTATGCCAACTTGGCTCTGGTCGATCCCGCGACCTCCTGGAATTTCTTTGCGCAGTCCAATTTCGACTACAGCTGGATTGATGGTGGCGCCTCTCGGACATGGTATCTGGCTTATGCAGCCGGTAAGTTCGATACTTTGAGTAGCTTGACACGGATTAGTACTGACCACATCGATAGGTTTGGGAGGAGCCTAGGCAATTAGAGGCCGGTGTTAGAGGAGAATGTATGTCATATATTTCGTTATTTATTGCTTCGACCACCTTTCTATTCGGCCGACATGAATGAGATGTCTCTGTCGGGGAATTTCTTATCTTATACAATCTATACCAATTGTTGTCGATATAGGCCTATTCGTGTCAATGCAATGATGGATTACTGCAAATCAAAGGGGACTCGTGTCAGAATGACCAATCCATTACCAGTGAGGTCTTTGTCTTAGTTTTGTATAGTGTCGGTGAGATTGCAGCTGCAGCGTTTGCTTGCGCACGGCTCTTTTGACGCGGAGCTCAGAATCATAGTAAGCATGACCGGGTTATTTATTGGCTATGTCAGCATGCCAAGTGAGCCCCGACCAACGCATGAGACCGTTGACATTAGCGTGGCAGTGCATCTGGTGCACACTACGGAGTAGATCCCTGGTATGGGTTACCCTGTCCTGTGGAAATTTCAGCATGGGTCCAATAGATGATACAGATGATGGAATACACCCATCAATCGACAGACGCTTCCTTCTTTCGCACAATGTCATTCTCGCGTTGGTACTAGATCGTGAGAGCGACTAGACTTTCAGTAGCAGTCAACTAATGAGTGAGTTCTATACGGGATAGATACTCCGTACACCACTGGGCAGAAGTGATAAGGTATTGATCGAGCTGAGACTTGTGAGTACTTGTGAGTTAAGCTCGGCTTTGCCCCACCTCCGACATTCCCAATCGGGTCAAGCCTGAGTGAAAGCTGCCGATGATGCATGCATGCTGTGATTCTTACAAGCTTTCCAGCAAGTGTGTCTACTCTGTACACTGCTTGGGGTATGGATTTTCTGGATTCGGTAAATCAATTGTTGATTGTGACACACGATTCGGTCCAGACAAATTGTTCAGTCGAATTCGTATCGCTGAGCGGCTAGTGTCAGTGTCAGTGTCAGTGTCCCTCGTTAATTTGACTGTCGTGTCTCCTTCAGCCAGCCATGATTTCATCATCATCTCTATACAATGTGACCCAACGTCATCTCAATGGAGAATAACCTCGATATTAAAAGGTAGTCTATGCTGCTATCCACCCCCGTCTACCCCGCTTATTATTGCAAGATTTCTTCTTCAAAGTCCTCAGAACCGACAACCCGATCTTCTCTCAAGGTCGTCGATCGGTACCCAAGCAGCAGCAGGACACCACCGTCACCCGTGGGATACTCGAATTGGGGCTGTGCACCGCACCTGCCACCTGCTCTTGTGGTCCCAGCCATCGATCTCGATCCACCACCCGACCTTTCACAACCAATTGTCGTGGCTAGTGGAACTCTCGGAATCTTGTTCATTGTTTAGCGACTTATTGCAATACGTCGACCCTCTCAAGCCATCCTCTTGGCTTCCCTCCCCCCCCTGGTTCCCATCCCCTCTTTTTGAGACCCTAGCTGTGTCGTTGGACTGAGAGCTTCATCGCAACCGCGCGGTCAGTCATTCCCTCCTCATCATATTGCCGAGTACAAGGTTTCCTGGTCCCCGAGAATTACGTGGCTTTAGGCCTGCTTGGACTCGCAAAGGAAGAAGAACCGCCTACCGCGACAAGCCACACACCATTCAACCCCAGTACCTCCGATCACGAGCTCTGACTTTTGTCAATCGATCCTGCAGATTCTGAACTAATTACCAACTTACAGCTACAAGAACAATCAATCCATACTACCGTCAGATCTCCCCTTCTTATAATTCCCCGACTGTCGCAGAGTTGTGGCTTTGTTTCCTTGCCACACTACATCCTTTCCGATGTGTAAGTGTTTGAACCACAGTTCCTTGGCTCTGCCAATCCATGTTTCGACCGTTTCTGGGAAGCAGTAGTGCTACCACCTTGTCTTTCAACTCCAATTACTCCACCCCCATTCCCTCACCCTTATCTACTTTACTGGCCCAGGTATTGGCATCTTCTCGCTCCCTTCGATCCTTTCCGCGTCTTTCCTTCTGATCGACGGCGCAGTTTGGTCGTCATTCCCTCAGCTGTTGCTCACTCCGGCCCCATCATTACCCCATCATTTTACAATTAGTTTCATTCTATCGCCCTCCCAACTATTATTTCAGTCCTTTAAACTCATTCCAGACTTGCTTGAAAGCTGTAAAGCAAGTGTTTGGTGATCCATTATCTTATCCGCATTCTCTTGTCGTTTTTTTGAAAATCTCTCTCTTTTACATCTTCGTACTCCACAGTCCGCGTTGCGCCATTCACCATAATTAGTCCACTCAACACTTTTCGCTAACAAGTTTCTGTTTTTGGCCTCGCAGCGGCCACAAGCATTCGCTCGACAGTTCGAAGGGTCTCCTGGGGACCGAGAAGAAACATGACTGGATTCTCGTCTAGAAATGGCTCCGTCGAGCCGCCGGATGAGAGACAGGCTTTGATCAGCGATACAGCTCGCATCAACTCTGGATTTCGCCAGCAACGTCAGAAGCCTCGACACCACTGGTCTCATTGGCCTAGACGTGTTGCTCATTTAACATGGTCGACACTTGTCCGCGATTATGTCAACGTCCTTCTCATTTTCGTGCCTCTGGGCATCATCGCGGGTGTTCTGCACTGGGATAGCACCGTCATTTTCACGCTCAATTTCTTGGCAATTATTCCTCTGGCCTCGCTCCTGAGTTTCGCAACCGAGGAGCTGGCCGCGACGATGGGTCAGGCTCTAGGTGGCTTGATGAATGCAACATTTGGCAATGCCGTTGAGTTGATTGTAAGTCCGCTCGCCAGAGCCCTCTCATAAGGGTGCTCGGTCTAACACGAACGATCGATTTCAGGTTAGCATAATAGCTTTGAAAGACAACCAGATTCGGGTTGTCCAAGCCAGCATGCTTGGAAGCATTTTATCCAACATCTTGCTCGTCCTTGGATGCTGCTTCTTCATTGGTGGATTACGTTACTCCGAGCAAACCTTTAACAGTACAGTAGCATCAACCATGTCTTCGCTGATGACTGTCGCGTCCGCTTCTCTTATCATTCCTGCTACACTTTATGCCTCTCTGAGCGGGTCTGACAAGGGGGAAAGGAGAGATAACATCCTGATTCTTTCCCACGGAACTGCCATCATTCTTTTGATACTCTATGTGATGTATTTATACTTCCAGCTCAAGTCGCACGCGGAACTTTTCGAAGAAGCCAACAACGAAATCAATGATGCCGAGAACCAAGCAGGAGACGCGGGGGCGGAAGAAGAAGAGGAAAGACTGCTCAACCCATGGGCTGCCACAGTTGCTCTGATCATCGTGACAATTCTGGTGGCTATCTGCGCCGACTACCTCGTAGGTAGCATCGACAGCATTGTACAGAAGACTGGCATGAGTCGTACGTTCATTGGTCTTGTTTTGATTCCCATTGTCGGCAACGCTGCCGAGCATGTCACCGCCGTGGTTGTTGCTTGGAAGGGCAAAATGGATCTAGCCATTGGAGTTGCCATCGGGAGCAGCCTCCAAATCGCGCTGTTTGTCACTCCCTTCCTCGTCATTCTTGGCTGGATCATGAATGTGGATATGACATTGCATTTCCATATCTTCGAGACTGTCGCGTTCTTCATCTCTGGTTTGGTCGTTACTTTCCTGATTCAGGATGGAAAGTCTAACTACCTTGAAGGTGGGCTATGTCTGGGAATGTAAGTATCCGTGCCCCCATCCTATGATGACTGGTCGCTCAATTTACTAACTATTGTCCTAGGTACATCATTCTCGCTCTTGCTTTCTACGTGTATCCGGACAGTGCTAGCGACGATGCTCTGTTCAATGATTGAATATAGCAATCAAAAGCGACTTGAGAGTCTGTTTTGTCAATGCTATTAGCATTCCTCGGTCTCAAACTCTCGCGCTCGCCCGACAACTTTCCGTCCTTCTTCAATTGCTCATTTTGTGCATCTAGGTCATGCTGTATGTAATACGCGGTGATTGTTTGCGTCTGCTAAGCGGCGGCACTTTTCATCTACCGGTGTCATTGTTGGTGGCTCTTTGTTTTCGCTTCGCTGGATGAAAAACGCTGTAGGCAGGTTAAGTAGTTATTGTACTCCGTTGCTTCTATAAGCGTGCCGTGGTGGTTACGGAATCTACATAAGCTTGATGAATTCAGATGCTGAGTAAAACTGTTTGTATTGAAGATGCTGGACTGTAGAGAGCAAATCTTTTTGAGAGATCAGCAATGGTGTTCAAGACTCTTCGATACAAGTCTAAAATGATGTAGTGTACAAACCATCGTCATAGTTGTGGCGGTTCTCGTAATCTTGGCAGTCGATGACTCAGCAGATGTGGAGGAGGAAAATCGTTCGCCGGACTTCATGGCAAGGAGCCAGGCCCGATTAGAGTGACTTCATCCACTTTCATTCCCTTCCAATTGACAGACAGTCTCCGGTCATTGAGGGCCTCATTTCACCATGCCGCCGCGCCTCAATCTCTTTACTGCAAGAGCGGTTCCTGCTTTTTGCCAGCCTTCGACGGCCGCTGCCCGCCGCAGCATCGCGACAATTTTGAACGCCAACCGGCCCTCGACCTCCAATGGCGTGAAGTCCGGCCTCTCAGCTTCGGCCCAGATGACGAAGCGGTGGAACTCGTCTGGCAGCGATGGAAAGGACAAGCCAGAGGGCTTTAAGGGTCCGACAGAGGATCCATTGCCTCATGTCAGTGAAGAGGCCGCCGAGGTCAGCAAGATCATGGACAAGAGATGCGATGGCGTTGCCTCCAGCCCGGAGTTGGAGCAGGGAACGCCTATTTCTGAGGTGAGTCAATCGTCTGGACTGCTGCCATTCCTCAGCGCCAAGTCTTCGCCTTCACTTCTAGCTGTTCCTAAACACTAACGTTGACTACTTTCCCGCGCAGATCTTGCAGCGTGATAAGAATGCTCAAAAACATGCCCCCAAAGTCATGCAAGACCAGATGAAGAACCAATCGGGCAAACGCTCATTCTCAACATCTGCTCGTCGCATGCAACCAGAGGTACAAGGGTCGGCTAACTTCGACGACGCTTCGGCTGCCCTTGTGGCGAACATGGTTTCTCAGGTTAACCAGCAAGCGGCCGAGTTGCATCCTGGACTTAAATTCGAGGCGCCCAGCAAGCCTTTGGGCAAGACCGATAACTTCCGTTCCCGATACGACGGACTACTGGAGCAGCTCACCAAGCAACTCATGCGGCATGGCAAGTTGTCCAAGGCTTACAAGGTATGTGGCTAATTCATCAGACCTGGTCTTCTGAGCCATAGTCATACTAACTGCGATGCTCTGGCAGGATATGTCGTTCATTCTGGACCACCTGCGGACTTCTCCTCCACCCAACAGGAACCCGAGGCGACCTTTGCTTCCCGGCCCTCCTAACGCCCAGCTCCCTCTCAACCCCATCCTCTACCTCACTCTCATCATCGACTCCGTTGCTCCTTTGGTCAAGCTCCGCCAACAGAAGGGTATCGCTGGTGGTGGTGCATCGGTGCAGATCCCTGTGCCCCTCGCTCTCAGACAGCGTCGGCGGACGGCCATTCGGTGGATCATCGACGCTTCGGACAAGCGTCGGGACAGCAACTTCGCTATGAGAGTTGCACAGGAGCTGGTTTCCGTTGCGGAGGGCCGCAGTGGTGCGTGGGATCGCAGGGAGATGGTGCACAAGCTTGGTGTTGCAGGCCGGTCGAACCTTGGATACCTCACCAACCGGAGATAGTTGTTTTGTATCACGCGTTTGATTGTGCCATGATTGCAGCGATGGGGTTCAATCTAATTGCATTCCATGGGATATGGGGGTTAGGTATTGGCTACTTGCTTTGGTGGGATGTTGTATATTTTTCTTATTTCCTCCCGATCTGTATTTCTTACTTGTTCGTTTCTTTCATTAAACGGCCGAGTCACTGTTCCAGAGAGTTCTGTATATTTAATTTCCGTCCGATCTAAATCTCTCTTAAATCATTTGCACCGATTCGTTTAATCCAGCAATCGCCGGAAAGGTGAAAGTGAAGGCGAAGCTCGCCGATAACCTCCGGATGACTAACGCCCCCTTCCCGATTGGGTTGTCTCGGCGTCAGCTGTAGCAGTTTAGCTCAGCTCCGACGTTTCCTACTTCGGTCTGACTTTTGCTTCCCTAGGATGAAAACCAAACCTACTCCTCTCTCATTGCTTCTCATCAACTCTGCTTTTGACAGGTGCTCGGGCACATTGCAGTCCTAGACGTGCGTTGGCCGTTCGCCGACCGGAGTCTGTTCGCACAGCCATCGACTAACTTACTACCCGGTGACGATAACGATACCATTAACTAAACCACGAATTGACTGTCGTTATCAACCAACACTAGTGCGCTAGCGTTGAAGGTGCAACCTAAAATACACATCCAGCCAGACCGTCAAATCCACGAGTGCATTGAACAGATATTTAATTCATTGCCGGTCTTGCCCCGCTCATTCCCTCGCCTTCTTTTCTCGTCCGACACCGTGTCGTCGAATGCCGTTGGCCGATCTGTGGCACGCATCGCTTCTGCGAGGGGTGCCTCCACGCACGATAACACCGTAACCCCTCTCGGTCACCAGGCTATCGAACTCGTCGAATTCCCCGAATCCCTCCCTGTCACGACATCGGCCAAGTCACACGATCCGCGATCTCGAGCCGTTGCGCACCACCCGGACAGTCCCCTACACGGCACCGACGACGAGAAGAGGGTCCCCCGGCGCACCCAGCACAGAAGGCCGGATAGAATCAAGTTTTGGATAGAGGCTCTCCAACGCTGCGCTCATCGCCATCAGCGCACCAATCCACCCAGGATGAAGTTCTCGCACAGCATTCAGTTCAATGCGGTGCCGGATTGGAGTGCCTATTACCTCGCTTACAGCAACCTTAAGAAATTGTACGTCGCCCGACACCCGTCTTTGCTTTTTTCACCGGTTAATGCTTGCGTTGTGCGACATTACTTTCGTGGGAGGAAGGGGAATCGTTGTATCAACTGGCCGCTTGCTTTTGCGAGCGTCAAAGTGCTGGGCTAACCTGTTGTGGTAGAATATATTCCCTAGAACAGGAAGCGCACCGCTCGACTGGTCAGAGCCATCCCGATGTTGAGTCAGCGCCGCTGCTCGATAACACGCCGAACCCGGATGCGATCTTCCGTCGGGCTTTAGATGCGGAGCTGGAAAAAATCTGCTCTTTTTACCAAGTGAAGGAGGTGGAGGTTTTCAAGGAGGTTGAAGATGTGGCCAGACTTGCGGAGGACTATGTGTCTAGGGCCGACAGGGCAAATATCGACCCAATGAGCGAGAACATTATCAAGGCAAGGACCATGAGTTCCGGCTCGAGGAACCGACAGGAGCGGCGGCGTAGCACGTTCAGCGACACGATCGGAGATGAAGATGATGAAGATGACGATGCGGACAGTGACGATGACCGTGCCGCGCCGACGGATCAGAACCGACCTCGATCGCATGGGGCCGAATCCAGTAATCACGATGGTAGTCGCACGGAAGATATGAGGGACTCGAGCGTCTGGGCGGCAGATTCTAGGCTGCTAGGGTACCACGGCCAATCTACGAGCCGTGCAGGCGCCCACGACGAGCAAAGCGCCGATCCCACCGTGGTGGATCTCTATAACGATGGTGTCTCGCTCAAGAAACAGGCTGTTACCGCCTACGTTTCGGTCTGCGGGCTCAAGTCGTACATCCAGTTGAACAAGACGGGCTTCTCCAAGGCTCTGAAAAAGTACGACAAGATCATGGACCGTAACTTGCGCCGGGATTACATGAGCGCGGTTGTGGCTCCGGCCTATCCTTTTACGGATTACACCATGGAAAGAGTAGATGATCACATCCACAAGATCGAGGCTGTGTACGCTGAGGTGATCACTACGGGTAACCTGCCTCTAGCCAAACGTGAACTGCGACTACATCTGAGGGAACATGTTGTCTGGGAGAGGAACACCGTCTGGAGGGAGATGATCGGCATCGAACGGAAGGCCCAGGCTGCTAACGTTGGTATCCGTCGCACTCTCCTTGGGGGTGACAATGATCCGGCGGCCACACGCCGCCAGGGTGACGAGCAAGAAACTAAAGCTACGGTGGTGAGGACGCCGATTGGTGTCTACCAGCTCCCTCAGTGGGTGTGCAGCTTGAGCTTCGGTACACTTGTCTTCATTTTGATTGTTTTTACGGCTTTACTTTCTGTTCCTATCCTGGAAAAGCCGGAGCAACAGAATTGTCTGGCTATGCTGGTTTTTGTCAGTTTGCTATGGGCTACTGAGGTATGTTTGGCCACGTTCCAAGCTGTTAGACATAGTGCACAGCGCTAACTGGTTGCAGGTCATTCCTCTCTTCGTGACTTCGTTACTTATTCCTTTCCTCGTTGTGATGCTTCGTATCATGAAGTCTGAGGACAAGCCTCACCAGCGGCTGGGACCGAAGGAGGCCACCGGCGCCGCCTTTAGTGCCATGTGGACGCCGGTGATCATGCTCTTACTCGGCGGGTTTACCATTGCAGCAGCGTTGTCCAAATACGATATCGCTCGTCGGATGGCTATGTTCGTGCTGAGCAAAGCGGGTTCTAATCCCCGAGTGGTCCTTCTCACCAACATGTTTGTGAGCATGTTCTTGAGTATGTGGATCAGCAACGTCGCCTCACCAGTCTTGTGCTATTCGATCATCCAACCGCTTTTGCGCAACCTGTCGCCGGACTCGAACTTCGCCAAGGCCCTTGTCCTCGGAATCGCTCTGGCGGCCAACGTCGGAGGTGCCGCATCGCCGATTGCTTCTCCACAGAACATCATTGCACTCCAGAACATGTATCCGAGCATCAGTTGGGGTACATGGTTCTTCATCTCCTTGCCTGTGTGCATCATCTCTATCCTGCTGATTTGGGTCCTTCTTTTGGTTAGTTTCCATGTGGGTAAGGATACGACCATTGTTCCGATTCGACCACTCAAGGACAAGTTCACGGGTGTACAATGGTTCATCACCATTGTGACTCTGTCGACCATTGGCCTCTGGTGTGGCAGCCACCAACTCGAGCATATCTTTGGCGACATGGGCGTGATCGCCATCATACCGATGGTGTTGTTCTTCGGCACCGGTATCCTCAACAAGGAGGATTTCAACAACTTTCTTTGGACCATCATCATCCTTGCGGCGGGTGGACTCTGTCTTGGCAAGGCCGTCACATCGTCTGGGCTTCTGCACACACTCGCTAATGCTATCCGGATGCGCGTGGAGCATCTGAGTCTCTACGGCGTGCTCATCGTCTTCTCCGCCTTGATCTTGGTCATCGCTACCTTCATCTCCCACACGGTTGCGGCGTTGATCATGCTCCCCCTGGTCCGCCAGATCGGCGTCAGCATGGCAGATCCTCACCCCAACCTGCTCGTGATGGCCAGCGCTTTGATGTGCTCGGTGGCCATGGCGCTGCCTACCAGTGGTTTCCCCAATATGAGTACGTGACCTGAACTTTGCTATTTAATCTTACCTTGCATCTCAGTAACACTTGTGTCTAGCCGCCATCATGACTGAAGTCCCGCAAACCGGCCAGCGGTACCTGCAAGTCCGTCACTTCTTCACACGTGGTATCCCGGCCAGTCTTATGGCGTTTGTCGTGGTTGTGACGGTAGGCTATGGGTTGATGTACGTTGCGGGGTTGTAATCGGGCAGGGCATCAGGGGATGCTTGGTTTGGGGATTGCGTGGTTGGACTGCGGTATCTGACTGTTCTTGGTAATGACTTCAAATCACCATGGCTGACGTTGTTGCCGCGGTGAGTGGGGTTTGAGGCATAGTACCGGACTTGGGGTATGCATGCTAATAGCTGCAGTGGGAGGGGGGTGGGGGGCTTCCTGTTCTGTTCATGTTTATTCTTGCTTTCATCCAACTTTCTTGTTTAACTGTTTCAATTAGATGGGGAATATATAGAGTGTTGTGGTTCATATATCTATTTCAAGACAAGATGGCGGTTGCTGACCAGACCTAGTCTTTTCATGTTTACAGCATACGTACCTTGAAGCCCCAGGCGCATTGAGATATTCATCCATCTGACAGACTCTCTCAGTCAAGTAGTCGAGGTCTACATTATCAGATCAATCGTATACTATAGTTGGTTCATCACATTCATTTCATCGACATAACAGGAGGTGAGGTAATGACATAAGCGAGGAGGAACCACACACACATGAATATCTTCTAAGAGGATGCAAGCAGGAAGTCACAATCAAGAAAAAAAAGACTAGAACCAAGCACAATGACGACAACATATCAAGGCAGAAGAAAACAAATGGAGTAGAGGTATCAAAACCGTCAAGGCATAAGCATGAAACACACCACCCGCGAAGGGTGGGGATGGGGGGAGGAGGAACCATCGTGGATAACACTTTTTCTATCGAGACCCTCGAGGTTTTTTTTTTTCCATTCTGCAGGAGAATGAACAAAAACCGATAGGAAGAAAAGAATAGAAACGGAAGGGTGTCAAGTCAGTGAAGAGATGGGGGCAAGGGGGAAGGGAGGGCGGAATTCGAATCGAAAAAGGGTGTTCGTTGTTTTAGTTCCTACGGTGATTTTCGGACGTGGTTAGCTACTATTCGCACTATGAGCTGGCTTCAAATATAATCGGAGTGGAGACGGGGAATGGAGAGTAGGGAAGAGTTGGGGAAAACTTACAACAAGCCCAGAGTCAGATCACCGTGGATCTTGGCCTTCAATTGGACCTCGATATCCAGGTTCAGATCCAGACGCAGTCGCAACTGTTCGTCCTTGCCATCGCCTTCGTCCTGCTTGCCGCCGCCGCCGAGGAGGCCGCCGACGGTCTTGCCCGCTCCGCCGGTGACTCCGCCGAGGGCTTGTCCCGCCGTGTTCTGGACGAGATCGCCCGCCTGCCCGACCCCGGGGAGGCCGCCCAGGCCGCCATCCTGGCCGCCTTGCTGCTGCTGCTGGGTGCGCTGGCGGCGCTGGCGGCGGGGCTTCTCAACGGCTCCGTTGTCCATGTTGTTTCGCGGAATAGATTCCGTGTCGGATTCTTCTTGCTTGTGAAGTTTCTGGGGAGGACGCGAACGGCGTTTGCGCTGCTGCGGGTCCTTCTTGGGTTTGCTGTCGGCTTCGGATTGGGGTTCTTGCTTGGGTTGAGGAGCGTCGGATTCGGGCTCTTCTTTCTTGACTTCTTCTTCTTCTTTCTTGGGTTGAGGCTCGGCTTCTTCTTGTTCTTGTGCTTCGTCTGCCTCTTGCTTTAACTCGGGTTCTTGGGACTTCTCCTCGGGTCTATCTTGGTCTTGGGGTTGATCTTGATCTTGATCTTGTTCTTGTTCTTGTTCTTGGGATTGATCTTGATCCTTATCCTTGTCGTCTTCCTTCTCTTCGTCGGGCTTTTGCTCCGATTCGTTGTTGTCTTCTTCCTTGGGCTGGTCAGGTTGTTGTTGTTGCTGCTGCTGCTCGGACTGGTCTTCCTCCTGGGGCTGGGGGGAGCCGGGAGTGTTCTCTTGTTGAGGGGTAGAAGGGTTGGAGGAAGGATTGTTGGTCTGCTCGGACATGATGAAAGAAAAAAGAAAAAGAGAAGAAGAATCTCAAGGCAGGTTGATGGGGGGGCACAGGGACGAATATATCTGGTGATGTTACCGGTCTGGTCATACGGGGTCGCAGATCTATATAGGGCTTTTTTTATTTTGTTTTGTGCTTCGTGCATGTTACATACCGGCTTCCACCACTCCAACCGACCCTCTCTCACCAATCCCAGCCGGTTATTTTGGACCAGAGATCGTTTTGTTTCGGTTTACCTTGATTACCTCGATTACCTCAATTCCTCGATTGCAAGATGGGAAAATGCCCCGCTCCGTCAGTCATGCAAGGATCTGGGCATATTGTGGGTTGGGGGAAATTTGGGAGGGGGGGGGGGGG